GGAGGAGTCAAGAAGGCTGCTCTAACCACTGACCTTGAAGAAAACTCTGGGAGGGAGGGAGGAGAGAAACAGAGTGGGAGGCAAAGCAGGTCCAGGCTTTAGCATACTGACAGAGTTCCAGCACTGCAGATCTCTCTCCCTCTCTCTTTCTCTATCTCTCTCTCTCTCTCTCTCTCTCTCTCTCTCTCTCTCTCTCTCTCTCTGTCTTCAGCCACTCTTGTTTTTTAGTCTGCCGCTGAAAGACAGGAAGACAAGGGAGAGCAGGGGGGAGGACAAGTGTGAAACAAAATATTTTGACTGATGAGAAAGGAGGATATCTGCCTGATCCCTGTACAGAATTCAGAAGTGAGTATCTGCAAGTGTGTGTGTGTGTGTGTGTGTGTGTGTGTGTGTGTGTGTGTGTGTGTGTGTGTGTGTGTGTGTGTGTGTGTGTGTGTGTGTGTGTCACTTCTCAGGGTGTTATGGATGCAAAAGGAAGAATTTCGAAACAGGCAGGGTTGTCTTCCCACACTGTTTGTTATTGTAGCCAAGGTAAATCCATAGGGGTGGTGAGCTTGATGCAGTCTAGTTGTGTGTGTGTGTGTGTGTGTGTGTGTGTGTGTGTGTGTGTGTGTGTGTGTGTGTGTGTGTGTGTGTGTGTGTGTGTGTGTGTGTGTGTGTGTGTGTGTACACTTGGCAACCACAGCACATGTTGTACCTTGAGCCTGTCAGAAAAATACATTCCTGTGGGTTGATGACGAATGAATGAGAAAGTATTCCAGCGACATGCGGTGGCGTTACAGCTGTAACACTTTGGTGTCAGTGGCAGGATGTGGTCCTCCTTGTTTACCAGCATGGCTTTTTTATTATGCAACGCTATGCATGCCGCACCGTTGCACAGCCCCAGAGTCGCTGCTTGTGAATCGATGTGAGCAGGATTGGTTGGCTCACAGAAACACTGCAGCAGCTGAGCATCCTCTGCTGCATCCAGCTATGGGCCAACTGGCACCGCGCTGTCACCGAGGGAGGTCACTTCTCCCTCCCAGAGGCTCAGCTGTGTGGACATTATAACAGGGGTTTGCAGTTTAAACAGCACTTTACTCATGTCATTTCTGCTGTTCTATCATATTTTCCTTTTTTTCCCGACCACTTGTCCACTGGTGATGACGTCACTGCATCTCCTTTTACCGTCTAAACAGACCCCCCCCCGCCCACTCCCTCTCCTTTCTCCCATTACCATCTCCTTTTCTTCTCTCAGTGCAGTACACTGTAATTGGGTCATTTACTAATTTCTCCTTCTGACGTTGGCGTCAAGGAACATAGTGAGAAGGGGGGATACAGGGGTGTGATAACTTGATTTCCGAGCAGTAACAAAAGGTTGTGAGGTACATTTTGCCCACATGCCAGGAGCAAACACTTCTGACGTAACAGAGAGGAGGAGTGGACCCCCAGCGTCCTCTGTTTTCATAACAGATGAGCAGAGGAAGCAAAAGAGTGAAGGTTAAAGAAGGCTAAAGAAAGAATATGATGGGGTGTTTTGTTGCCAGTGGCTGGTGCTGCCCTACTTGCTGCTGCATGACACAGAACTATGTTTTCCCTAAGGTGAGAAGAACCAAAAAAGTAAGGACATTTATCATGGAAGGAGTATTTATAGATGTTTCCAAAATCAAGTCATTTTAAAATTAAGGTCATTTAGAAGTAATGGGATTTTTCCAAAGTAATTTTGGCGATTATATAATTGTAGTAAATGTAAGGTACATTTTCGAAAAATATGACATTTTTCAAAAGTGAGACCTTTTTTTAAGTTTTGAAAAGATTATTCAAAAGAAAATCAAGGTAGGTCGCTTACACAAACTCTCTCTCCTGTCGCCAGCGGTGATCTCTGTCCTCATGGTCACAGTTTGTCTCCCCCCCCCCCCCCAGGCTCTACTGTACCAGGGGACACAGAGACATATTGTTCTGCGCTGTGTGGAGGAGGCAGCTCTCATGTGATGGGGAGGTGAATAGCTGTCATTCATAAGAGGCTGTCCGTTTGCTCGGCAGCTGACCGCAGCTCTGACACTTCAGACACTGATCCTGCAGTCAGCTGCTGTCGGCCCCCTGCCCCAGCACCCCTGCGGCCCCCCCTGTCCCAGCACCCCCCCGGTCACATGGGTCGGGCATCAGACATGTTTTATGTGCTGCGATAAGAGGTGTGGTGGAGTGGGGTTAAATCTAATAGAATGAATAACACATCTAAGTAGAAATGATAACCAATGTGGTTTTTCATGTTATTTAGCCTTTGGTCCTTTATCAAACTTTTCTTGAAATGTTTTTGGTATCTGATATGGACGGAAACCAGAGATATATGAGGAAGCTTCATTATCTTCGCCTAGTGTGAGCCTGTGGGGAAATAATGTGTTTTGTAGTGTGCGTGTTTACTTCCACATTCTACTGGAATCGTCAGCCTATTCTTTTTTTTAACTTTTCTTATAATTGCTCAAGGACCTCTCGTGGTTGCAGTGATTCCAAACTTTTTTTACTGTCCATTTACTGCTTACTCTTTACTCCATTTAAACAGCCAGTAGAGGCCACATGTTATTTAAAACCTGCTTTAGTGAGGCTTTCCTGGCAATATGCATTTCCAGGAATTAGCAAGGCTAAAAACAAGCGTTAGCCTGTTGGAGGCCACATGTTGGCTTTTGTTGTAGCTCAACAACTGACATACAATAGAAAAGTTAGGTCTCATTAGATTCATTCCATACCCAAGATGGTATGATCCACTATACGTGGACATTTTTCCTTTAGTAGAATTTACTAATAGAAAATATGTAGAAAATGGTAATGAGGTGTACAAACGGCTCCATTTAAAGGGGACCTATCATGCAAAATGCACTTTTGTACGTCTTTTATACATGCATATGTGTCCTCGGTGTTTCAGAGAACTCACCAAGTGTCATAAAACACAACCCTCTCTATTTTCCTCCATACCCAAACCTCTTAAAAAGGGGCTGCAACGGATCTGATACAGACTGATCCAGATTTGAACACTTCTGTGACGTCACAGAAGTGGCGCTATGGCTATTGGGCCAACTCCACCGATCAGGAGGAGACAGCCACGGACATTGCTGTTCGAAAGCGCTGGAGACGCTGTAGTACATATGCCAGGCCTGTAGATGGTGCTGTTCTCACAGAATCAGCCCATGCAAAGACAGTGTTAAATTGAGCGAAATGAGGAATGGCTAAAATGCATGATCTGTTTGGTATTTTGAAAAATAAAAAGTATAAATATGCCTTATATAGGTATGGTCCTACACTATATTATTCAAATATAGCATGATAGATCCACTTACAGCAAAAAGACTACCCTGTATGTAGCTCAGTGGCAGAGGTATTTTGTTAAACTTTAATAGAGCTGCCCGT